ATGAATAATTTAGCATCACTTGACGAACTTGTTCGACATGGACTTCATGCTTTACGTGAAACTTTGCAACAGGACAAAGAACTCAATACGCTTAATTGTTCAATTGGAATAGTTGGTTATGACCACAAATTCAAAATCGTGGAAGGTGATGAATTACAACAATATCTAGATTTGTTGGACAATATTGAGGACAATGCTCAAGAACAAGGGCAAGCACCTATGGATACTGAAGAGTTGTAAACTTTTATTTTACAAATCCAATATAAATGTTGGGTCTAGTATTTAATCTACTATAAAGTTGATGGTTGATCACTGTTATTTTTGAAAAATTTATTAATTAAAAAATATTGTACAAAATGATAAAGTACATTAAAGAAAATATCAAGTCTAAAAATTGTATTATTAAGCTAGTTTGTAAATTGAACTTAATACTTTTCTATATTTGGTTTTATATATATTTATAATTATTTATATTAATGAATTAATTTTACAATTTTATTTTTTGTATATTCTAAAACAAATTATATAAAGTTTATTAAAAAAATTGAACTTATTTTTTTTAAATCTGCAATCAAATTGAAATTACATGTTATTAAATATAATAAATAAAAGTATATTTAAATCTATTATTTATTAACAGTATGAGATCTTTAGATATAATTAAGGATCCTAATAATTTGATTTAATTTGATTCTCGATTCTCAAGTTTATATTAAATTTAATATGTAAGTTATAACCCACTATCATTTTTAATAGTTCTTAATCTCATGTGAGTTTATATGAGTCTATTTGATTCCAATTTTTGGGACCATAGATATAATTTATAAAAATAATAAATTGTTTGTTTATTGAATATAATTAAGATCTAAAATTTAATAATAAAATAAAAGTCTACAAATTATTTTTATAAGTATATTTTATAATAAATATTGTATAACTTCTTTTTTGTAAAAACTATATAAAGGCAAATATATATAAGAAAAAATCAAATAAAATAATAATAATTATTATTGTTTATTTTATGTATTATTAAAAAGATAATTTTTTTAATTTAAACAAAATTAAAAAAAATTTATACTAATAATACATTTATTTTTATTATTTGTAACCAATTAAACTATTAATTAATAATAATAATAACAATGGATCCCATT